CGAACCACTTATTGGACGCTCTAAGCCGTAACGATAGATGGAAACGGGCTGGCGCCGCGCCAAACGTATACTCCGCTGACACGCTCCTACAGACTCCACTGATAGCAGCTGTGTGCTCCAGTATAGCTGAACTGGTCTTTCGAGGCGTCGCGGTTGCGTATTCTACCAGTACCGACAGGCTCTGGTAGCAAACAACCAGTTGTGGAAAACGCCGCTGGTCGACTCATTTCACGCTTCCTGACACCACCACCCCTACCCCCCCCCCCCCCTCTCCGCCAAATTGCGAACGGTATCGAGTATACCGTGTCGCTGACGTCACATAACACATTAATGACACGTCCTGTGACGTCATTGACATGACAAAGCAAGTCTTTCTTGACGTTAACGTGTTGGGTGGAATGTGCCCTCCTGACTCTTAGTTGGTAAGGGAGCTGCGCTATCCCTGCGTCGATACAGTTCAATTCTGTATCTGAAAGCAACACTCACGCAGCAACGATAGCCGAACTACGGAAGAATGCGCCACAGTTGAAGCCGACTATAGAAGTGCAAATGATGAGCACCACTAGTGCAAATATGGGCATCGACCTGAAGTATTGATTGTAAGTATCGATTGATAAAGTATGGTATAAGCCAGCCACAAGATGCCAAGGAGCAACTTTTCAAAGGCATGATGCACTACAATTTGACTGTGGGTCTAAAATGGTCCGGAATGGAAGAGAATATATGGAATGAAATAAATAGAGGGTGAGTGAGCGGAAACAAAAATGCGGAAAGAAGGAGAAATGTCCTTCAGCAGTGGATGAGAATGCAGCTGACACAAAGCCTATTTTCGGACGAGATTTTCCGCCTGACGCAAACATCCGGTGGGTTTAGACTACATGGCGTGTACCACAGCAGCCACCATCCCATACCATTTGCTGAATTGAGGGGTTAAGGGTGTCGACGCGGCTAAGGTGGCCATGCCCAACGGCGCAGCGCTGGTTTTTTGTTTCTGACTAGCTGGATCTTCGGGTTTCCTTGAAACCCGCCCCCCCCCCTCCCGCGATGGAAGATCTTCATTTATGGGCTACTAAGCAACGAGGCTTCGCCTTACTGCCCTAGGACATTGAGACCCATGGTAAAACAGTCGATTTACTGGGCATGATGTCTGCAACTGAAAACAGCTCCAGACTAGGTTTGTCGCGACGCCAGCCCGTTTCCCACCAACTGTTGTCTCTTTCTAGCTTGCAGAATTGCATTGTGAACGGCGCTGGCCGCCGTTGGCGAGCTTCACCGATGATGGAGGCCCAGGTCTGCCAGCGGAAAACGACTTGCTCACAGTTTTCAAAAACTAACCGTCGGGTATGACGGCAAGTATGAAGAACGCGATTCCCATGCCTCCAATGGCCAGAAGATTGAAGATCTTGACAGAAGTGACCGGTCGGCAACATGTGGCCTTATCGGCTAGAACGCCGGCGAACATCTTCAACGCGAATGTCACAATCTAAAAGGGAAGAGTTCAGTTTTCTGTTCTGCTTAATGTTGCTAGCCTTGTTTCAGCGCCATTCGGTCTATTTTGTTTTTTTTCTATTTATGTTGCGACTTCAATATTGCACGCTGCCAGAAAGTGTTGTTAGTGGAATACCACTCGTGCCGCCAGTTCGGAGACGGGGAGGGAGCATTTTGCACCTTCGTTGCTTCGCTAGTTCCGGTTTACAAGTCTCACTCTGGTGGAACCTGAGAGCTGTTGTGAAGCTGGAACAAGCCTCTGTCAACTGCGCAAAAATGCCCCTCCCACCGTCGCCGAACAGCGCCATACACACGATACACAAGATCGATGCGGCGGCGACCGTGTCAATCTGCTGTCGCGACGCCAATAATCTTGGAAAGCCCTTACAGAACCTGAACATTGTAGGCCCCACTTGGCTTTGTTGACTACTTCTCTAGCGTTTTTTTTTCTCCGTCCTTTGGACACATGGCACCTCTCCGTACTACCAGCCACGGTAATCCCGCACGAGATGCGCACGGGGACGTTACACACCGCATAAATTTGATGTGCGAGCGGCGGAAAAAAAACTAATAGAAGTGGGGGTTCCCGATGATCCCTTGCGAATTCTAATGAGGTAGAATTTGTTTGAAAAATGCATTTTTTTTTCTCCCTGTAACCTGATAGTATACTACTATGCTACTAGGAATACAGAAAATCCAAAAAAGTTACCTGCGGTATCGCGCTGAACAGACCAGTTTGTTCCACTGGGAAACCCATAACCTGAATCATCGAATGTAACACTTTCAAGAAAAAAAGGTCGATATATCGACTGCTATCGATTACCTTGTTAAGATAGATTGGTGAGAACTGCATAGTGACCTGGATGCCCATGAAATTAGCGATAGCTGAGATCCATACGGCAATAATAGCGTTTGACGTTACAATAGCCTGAATCAGCACAATATCAAATACAACCAGAAAATCAATTATCGATTTGGCTGCAAGACAGCTCGGGTTTGCTACCGATCCTCTTCAAACTTCGGAAATATCTGTCGACTTTATTGATATCATAGGATTGAGTTGCACATTGTTACCGTACCTTGACGGGCAGTGGCTCCTTCTCGTTTGTATCCCCTTTGTTACGTTTGATACGATCCAATTCTTTGGCAGATACAAACGCATGTATTTGCGGTTGTTCTCTGAAAACTGATAGATTATTCAGTAATCGATTTATTGATCAGCAGAGATCCCCACCTATAGAAATAGAGGAACAGCAGAAACAGAATACAGGTAATTACGGCGTGTAAGTAATAGACAGATGACCATCCAAGGGATGACGTGCATAAAGCACCAGCTACAGGCATTGTGAATATTGGGCCAATCTGAATGAACACTATTTCGCCGACAAATCACGCACCGATCAAAGACATCGCGAATTCTTGTGAACCCCACCCTCGATGGTGCAATTCCATTGGGGGTGTGCTGTAAGGTGTGAAGAGTTACTTCCCTGTAGCGGCTGATGAGGTAAAAAGGCGTTGCAAATCGGGTACTGTTGTTATCGCTGGAGTCAGTCGTGGCGTGTCAGCAGCGGGTGGAGTTTGTCAACCCTTTCTCACTGCCAACCCTTTCTTTTCTTTTCCTTTCTCACCGCCAACCCTTTCTTTTCTTTTCCTTTCTCACTGCCCACTGAACGCCCAAAGCCACAGCGACCGATCAACAACTAGCCTCGAGCCAAAGCCCATGCCCCGCTGGCGCACCGGCGACTGACTACAGTAATAGCGACTACGCTA